ATTTTATCATATCGAAAAATCTAATCAAGATATGTAAAAATAATGCAAACTATTAAATTTAACAGAAATTTCTTTAAGAATTTTACTGTATCTTCTGGTGTTCCTCAAGATTCATATTTTGGATTACTTCTGTTTATTTTATTCAATGACATAACTAAAAGTTTAAACATAGTAAATTTTCAACTTATGTCTTTAAAGTTTTTCGACAGATTGACGATCTATCCGAAGTAGTCTTATTACAAATAGTGTCTATCAATTTCGACTACCCGAGTCTTTCAATAATTGAATATACAGTTAATGTCAGATGTTAAAAGTTATTGATTTTCTTCAACGATAACAGATAATAAATAACGTCTGAAATTAGCCGTATACTCAGTTACTGAAGGATTCGAGTACCCGGGTAGTCGAAATTGACAGTACCAATTATAAGATGACTTGCTACGACTTGAAGCCTGGTACGTAAGAGATCGTGTCCACATCAATTTTAATAAATGTCAAGATGTTCATTTTAGAAAGCGCCCGCTGCTCTGTGATTATTACTTTGGTACTAGACTTCTTGCTCCAGTAGATAATGTGTGCGATTTGGAAACACTTAATCACAATTTGTTACTTGGTAATTATATACAGTCACTTGTGTCTTCTGCGCATAGAACGCTTGGCCTTATTCGCCGCTGAGATAAGTTCGGAAATGTAAGTAAATCAATATTACTATTCCTTTGTTAATCCTAGACTGGTGTATTGCTTTATTGTGTGGTCTTCATATGATATGATATATGGGTATCAGTATGACATAGTTGAGTAGGTGCAACACAAATTCTTACGTTCGGTTTGCTACAGACTAAATAAGCTCACGGCAATTACGTGCCATGAGCACCGGCCTGTGCTTGGTAGACTTGACATGTCACTACGAGAGAAAAAATTCACGCACGGTCTCGCTTTTATTTTTCCCTTGTTAAGAATAAAAGTGGAACGACTAAAAATCGCGACGAATTCATCACATTTCGACAAGACAACAAGAGATCAGTCTCAACAACAACAAGTATCTCGTTAACGGGAGAAAGTGCAAGCTGATGCGCGACGGAGAAAAATATTCCGAGTATGGGATCGGTTAAATCCGCGCTGGAAATGTTATTATCTCGGCGGCGGCGGATTACAGTCAACCTCGGGCATAAAGATTGCAGTGTGGCTCGTGGAGAGAGCGCATTTGTACCGAAAATAACGCGAAGATGCACATCGACTCGCGCTCGACGGAAAAACAAGAAGCCCGGATGGCAAGATAAGCGGAGAGAACGAAAGAGAGAGAGAGAGAGAGAGAGAGAGAGAGAGCGAGCTTGCAGCTGTCACGTTTAATAATGAACAATTACACCGTTGAAGACAGCGCTTCCAGAGATACGTCAAAGCGATAACTGTTTCGCGTTTGTTTACAACGTGGAAAAGAGAGAAGCGCGACGTGAAGAAGGGTGAGAGAGAGATGGGGAGGGGGNGGGGGGGGGGGGGGGGGTGAGCGGTCGCGCGCTCGTGATGCAACGAAGCTGTCTTCTTTTCCGGCGCGAGCATACGCGAGTAGATGCCAAGAGCAACGCTTTCCACATTCTTCGGAGAGAACTACGTGTTGCATAATCGGGCTTGCTGTTCTCCTGCTCACTGTGACGACTTGTCCCCCCCCCCCCGGGTTCTTGCGTTGAACCGTTTTCGGAGGCGACGCGGCATGTTGCGCGCTTACGTTTCACCGATGTAACCGTCGCCAACGTCGCGCGCCTGAATTTCGTTTACAACTTGCACCTGCAACTTGTATCCGCGCATCGACGATATTTAGGCGCCGAACAATACGTTCGCTGTGATATTTTGGAAACACGAGTTATCAGAATCGTACTACTTAAGATATTTTTCAGACATTCCTATCACACATGTCGTGTAATTTTCAATCCGGGAAATGGTACAGCGTACATAACGCCAACCGTACGTGCCGTATCCGGGCAGCTTACAGGTAACAGATTTGCAGATATTATTCGTTTCCAATGTGCTCGAGTATGCCTGATGTCAGTCCTGCGCAGTGGCTATTGCATTTATCAGCGTTCGTGCGCATTCGTCATTATTTATTACGGCTGTCGCCGGTTTAATGTTATTATCATCACCGAGATACATTTATTAATTATTCATATAATATATCTCGATATATACCGTGACGATGAAACAACGATCGGACGATGTTAGTAATTCTAACAACAGGGCGGAAAGAGACAGTGTGGCAACTCGAGACTCCCCCCCCCCCATTGGTCTCTCTCAAATTCAACGTGATTTACAGGATTAATGCAGAGGCGAAATTCCGACTCAGATCGAAAGACTCTTTCCCGTTTCCTTCTAATTGCGACAGCGAATCGGCGAGAATCGTTCCAGCGAGAGGGATTTCACGACACACGATCGGAATGCAGCGCCGCCCAGCAAGATTGGCGGGTGCATTTTCGAGATTTCTCCGCGTCTGTAACGACCACTTAACTTAGATTAGCCACGCAGTCTGGCCGGGAGTGCACTGATGGTGGTAAAAAGCCGACATGAGTCAGAGAGTTTTTCCCTTTCCTTTCGTGCCGGCTAATAATCTCATTGCCGATCTTCGAGTATCTCCGGAGCGCGCGAGACGTGCCTCGATCGGCCCGCGTTAAAAGCGTGCGCACACGTACACGTACACACACGGATGTTTCAACAGATTTACAAATCTAATTTCCCTCTGTCGGGAATATCGAAAAACGCGGCGAACAGTGGTGGAAATCGAACCGAAGAACGGGTTTCCGCGATCGGCCGACAACGCGACCCGTTTACCAACGTTTCGCACTCACTCGAGTCGCCGTAAGCGGGGGAGGAGGGAGGGTTTCAACTAGTGAAAAGTCGGTAAATTTTGACACGTTGCCGCAGGTATAGGAATTAATTCAATACGAAATCCTTTTGCAAGCTGTTTATGCTATACATTAACGATGAAAATATATTGAAAAAATTTTGAAAATATTAAAACATATGGAACCGCTGCAGCCCGATCCATCCCAGTGCACAGAAGTGTATATTGTGATTTGGCAAGGATTGCGAGTGATCCGGTTGACAGTTTTAACAGAGACAAACGACGCAATGTTTTAAAAGCTTTCTTCTATATAGACTGAACTAAAAGGAAAAAATTCGATAAAGATTAACAAAGTGGCAGCAAAAAAAACACAAAAATATCGCAGAAATTAAATTTATTGTAACAGACCTTGAATAAATAATATTCTTTAAACGTGGTTACATCTGTATAGAAAATTTAATACTCTTTTAATTTGAAAAAAAAAGTATCTCGAAATCTCCGTTCAATCTTAAGTTACACATTTAAAATCATATACACTGCACGACGGACCGAGTTGCAGCAGTTTTATATATTAATATTTTTTGATTTCTTAAATATATCGTCGATTAACTCCTACGTCGGTAGCGGACGACAAAATTTCACGGACTCTTCACAGGTTCAAACCGTTCCACCCGCTTTAATATCGCGCGATACGTTTCGTTCGGTGCGAATGCAATTTTCGCGCAAAGGGAGATACCATTGATGTCCGATACATCTGAAAGACTTCGCGGAATAATCAAATCTCGTTCCTCGCCTTCCCGACACTCCGGCGTGGACTTTAACGGGGCGGCGGTGAGGATACACGATTCGCGATGGACACGCGTCGTCTAACGAGGTCCCCGCGCGAGTTACTTTTCGCGTAAGTTATTTACCGTGTAAGTCGGACGCGGGTTGCGCGGGTGCGGGTGAAACAACGGCAGCGACCGCGCGCGCATTCAACGAGATTACCGGCGGTCCCAGTCGTCACGGCCGCGTCCACCCCCGGGGCGCGTCTCTATTTTCTCGTCGAGGATCACGGGAATGTCCTAACGAAATTCCCCTCCTTACCCTGAAAACGTTCTCCCGTGATACCGTGGCTCCTTCCATCTCGGACCTAATCCGACCTCGCCATTACGCTTTCAGCGTCGTCGAGCTTTTCGATCTCTTCGGAAACTACCTCCTCGCGGATCGAGTTTTGCCACCGGGACCATCGATGGGTAATCAAGACGATATCGGTGATATAACGCGCATTTACGGGCGAAATTAGCGGACAGGGCCGCAGGGAACTTTTGAGAGAGTTCCGAGGAACACGAGGGCTAAAGATTGAGAAACGACGCGACGAGAACTTGTCGCGATATACGAGGAAAGGGAGGAGGAAGGAAAGTGGACGAATACACAACGGTGGTTAAAGCCGAATCAGTATCGGCCGTTCGAAAGTTGTCGCGTTAAAAAGTCCGAGGAAAAGCTGAGACGGGGAGAATTAACGGGACACATCCGGCGGTGGCGTGACACTACATTTAGATAACTTGGAGCCCGGCCAAAATCAATGTTATTCTCCGCGGTTCGCAGGCGGAAGCGGGCAAATATTACCGGCCCAGGTATCGCACTTATAATATCGGGCGTTCGTTTACCTAAACGGTACGAAGGGGATGTCTCGTATTTAAACACAGAAAACACCGCTCTTTTTACACCGTAGCGAACAAAGCTCGGAATTACAAGCTGAAGTAATCCAAGAGATACGTATCGCGCGCGTTTGTATATCGAGGTATTATTAATAATATAAAATATCGGGGGTTTACGTCNGGGGAGGGGGGAGGGAGAAAAACGCGGGTTGTGGTTAGCCCCGAAGGTCAACCGTAATTATTGGCTACGTCGTAATGGTTTAAGGAATCTTCATGTTCCCTATTGTCTCGGATTTCCTAGGAACAAAGTGTACCAAGATAACCTGCGCGAGAGACCGGGAGGCCTTGAAACCCGAACCATCATCAAAGAGAGGGCAATAAAACCTGAGGGAATGCCGTCAAGACACGTTTCGTCGGGGGCCCTTGTCGTGGCTTTATTCCGGGCCTCGAGACGTCTCTCCCGCGAGACGCTTCGGGTATTGTTTTTAGATCGTGTGTTACGGCGGATTCGTTTTACAAGTACGACTTACGTGTTTTGCGAAGGTGTCGGGCACATACGCCGCTATAATAAATATTAAGAGCCCCAGCGACCTGAAAAGAAAGAATGTCGCGTTAATAACTTATTTAATCGCTTCGTCCCACACGCATACATACACGCACACGTCCGCAGAGAGGCATGCACGCTCACACTATACACACACTTTCCCTGAATATTCCACTAATCCGATTCATGTCGCGATAAGATTTTATCACTGTCAATCTGATACGTTTAAATCGACGGAATTATTTTACATTCCAGTGGGGAACGTCCCGACACGTGATATTTGTTACACCCGTGTCACGTAATATTTTTCTCAATATTTCCGTGCGATACGTCACGAGGGGGGAGACAAGTGAGATGAATCTTTCAATTTTCAACCCGCGTATACCCCACGCACGAATCTCCCCCTTTTCTCCGCGCGAGTTCGTTATTCGATCAAGATTATAATTATTACCGGTTACACGGTACAGCGGATCTCCCTGGGGGGATCGCGCGCCGCTAATGCAACGTAAAGCGGCCGGCGCTTTCACGAGGAGCCATTGACGCGAAACAAGCGGGCGATGCATAACAGAGTAGCGCGCTCTCCGCTGAGTTATCAGCGCAACATTGACCCAGACTTTGACGGCGGCATCAGCAGGGCCTCGTTACACCGGGACAAGTTTCACTGCAAAGTGGTTCCACGACTGGTTACGTCACCGGGGCCCCGGGTAAACAGTTACGCGTTACGTGGCGTATTACGTGGATCGAAGCGAGCGTTCCTCTTCTTCTCGCCTCCTCCGCCCGAGACGAAAGCGAATCTCTCTCGAGCGACTGTGCGCGAGTACTCCACCGTGAAGCGGAACGCTGCGCACGGTCACCCTCGAGGTTCGATCTCGCCGACCAACAAGGTCGACCGGTCGAATCCGTTCGGTAACGATCCGCCTTATTTCCCATCGAGCCGCGCTCCCAGATGCGCAACCTACTTTCGACACGGGAGATTTACACGTCATTAAGCGGCAAGGCGCGCGTGACAAATTTGTGACAAATCGCGCCCGCTCGTTGAATCAGAGAGAAAGCACTCGAGCCGCCGGCTCTGAATGGCCGGTGGGTTTAAAGGGAGGGCGAGGAGAAAAATTCACGAGAGAGAACGCTTAAATCGGGGCGTAATGCCGCGATGTAACGCGCGGCGAGACGGCCTTTGTGTCGCCGAGGCTCGACGAAGACAAGGACCCTTCGACCCGGGGCCGCCGTAAGCGAGACGCGAGTTGCCGCTGCGCTGTAAAGCTTCCGCGACAAAGGTAAACAATCCTTAGGCACGCGCGCGCGCGAAAAGCCGGGGGTTGAAAATATTATCAATAAGAGAAGCCGTGCGACTCGCGATTTGCATAACGGCGGGTGAAAACGCTCCGTATAAAAGTTCGCCGCTTACGAGAGCCTCGCGCGCGCGCGAGATCTCGCGCGGGTTTTACGCGCGACACCTCGAAATTTTGCGACTACCGGCCGCACGTACCGGGATAACGCGCACAGTTGTGCGAGCGTGTATATGAAATTTCGTATATACGAATTCTCCGTGCTAACTTCCAGTTATTTGTCGCACAACGCGAGCGAGCAGCGAGGGTGATGTCGCCGGGAGAGAAACTTCAGTTGCGGAGGTGACGAGCGATTTCCCGCGCATCTGATAATGCGGAACGTCGGAAATAAATGTCGACACCCTCCCTCCCCCCTCCCTTCTCCTTGATTACTGAATGTGCGAGCGTATGTGCGAAATTTCGTACGTGAACATTCCCCGTGCTGACTTCCAGCTATTTGCTGCACCGAGAAGAACGCGAGAGAGATCTCTCGGTTATCAGAACAGAATCTCACTTGTTATCTGATGATCTGGTAGGAAAACAGGATCCATCCGTTATTATTGCAAATCTTTTCTCAATATTTGTCATCTTGAGAAACTATATACCGTTTACGATACAAACCGCACTTGTTTTTGGATATTTGTTAGATGTACGTAATATTCATAATGTTGCACCGATAAATAATAATAATAAGCATTGTAAAAGCAAAAGCAGTCCGACGATCCAATCTCGATCTCCTTCGTTCTTCGGCACTTCACAAATTGCTTCCAATACGGAGTTATTTGCTGCCACTGTATTTACAAAAGAAATTTGTTACAGAAACCGGTGGCGTGTCACCACTAACAAAACTTTTTTTCTCAATGTGACGTCGTCAGGAGTAACCTCCGGCGAGCTGCTCAATTTGCGGAAGAGTCGAGCGATTTCTCGCGCGTCCGATAATGCGGGAGGACGGAAATAAATGTCGATTCCCCCTCGACCACTGAATTCGCGACCTTTCACCTTGTCGATCTCGGTATATTCGTCGGGGGGGGG